CAGCTGAAAATGTAACAAATGTTTGGTTTAAAATCAAACCGACTCTAACAGACGATCAGAACATGGTGACAGTTTGAACAAATATGTAAAAAAACATATTTTATAAACGTTACATCGCTTTAAGCTTAAATTAACAGTAAAAAAAAGAAATGTGGGAATTCTGAAGATTTATTATAAATTCTGCTATACCCTTAAATTAACTAAACAAACAAATCTCGTTAACTGTTATTTCCTTAAAGTCGCTTGACTTTAAAGGTCATCTAGAGTTCAACGCTACAGAAACCATATTCAAATTTTGAATAATTTTTTATTCAGGCTGTTAAAATAAGAAAACATTATTCATGGTCTCTTATCAGGTATCATCAGCTGTCAGAGCCGCCCGCCGTTTAAGCGCGTGACCTCAGTTTACTTATCATAACAGAGCTGCGACCTCCTGACCTGCAGTCATTACCGCTGTCGCCTCCAATCAGGCCGGCGCACGGCGGCGATAAAGCCTCTGGGAGGAAACGCTGCTGGGACGCAGCGACGGCAGATTTATGCACATGTGCTGGAAAGGTGGCAGAACATGCCCCGCCCCGGGGCAATTCTCATGTTCCATCACCCCGCAGGGCCGAGGAATGCTGACATGACTGGAGGAAAACTGAAAGGTGTTTGTTGGATGTAGGAATACCTGCCATGCAGTCACTGGGAATTTCTGTACCAATATGTTTTTTATTAAAAACTAAAGCTGTTCGATTTGTCACTGAGTTACGTGAAGCAAAAGATAAGGTCAACATGTATAACAACGGTGTTTCTCTCCTCCTCGCCATAACCACTTAAAAAACTGAATTCTGATGTTTTCATAAAAATCTCATTAAGTCAGAATTCTGAGATTAAAGTAAAAATTCTGAGAAAAAAGTCAGAATTCTGGGGGAAATGTTGATGTTACAGTGAGAAAACTCTCACTGACTGCAGACTGCCTGCATGTGGAGCGATTGTGACGTGATGCATTTCACTGGCGCAGATTTCCTTCATACGTTCATAATTACAGTCTTCAGTCCTTGTTTACGTTCTCATTTACAGCATCTGTTTTTTTTCTGGTGCAGAATTATGACGCATGTCTCGCACCAGTGACGTAAAAGCCGGATAAAAAAGCTGCAGATGCTCTGAAATCGATCCGGTTTTGTGCCACATGGCAGAGATCGGGCTTTTGGAATCGGGCCGTTCAGTCTGCCGTTAAAAAGTTTGATATGCTCAACTTTCGCAAAATGCTTTTTAATCTGTACTTCTTCAGAGAGCGCAAATAAAACGGTAAAAAGTTGCTGTCATTCCAGTGATTTTAGTTAACAGCAGAGTAAAGCAAAATCTAAAAGAACAAAACAAGGAAAAATAATCAAATTTAACTTACCAGTGTTTATGAGGAGTCATAAATCATTCTGGACACAAGAAGGAAAACTCAAGCAAATCAGAAAACGCTGTTGCCCGTTAAACCTCCATGAAGTTTATTCTAATACAGTTTAGCTTACAGTGACTTTATCTGGTAACTGAACTGATTTAACAACAAATTACCTTAAATATCAACGAGCCGCAGCCAAAAAGCCAGCAGGATCTCATCACTCTAACGTTTCTCTTTCTGACCTGATGGTTTGTTTTTCCAAACTGCTTCAGAAATCTATCAGATGAAAGCAATTACAGTTAAACGGCATCATCATCATCATCACAGCTTATTAAATAAACAGACGTTTGCTCATCTGGTTATTTAAAACGATGCTGTGAGTCCAAACTTTCAGCATTTAGCTGACATGACACGAAGTCTTGACTCAAACCAATTACCAAAACTGATTTTGACCAATTTTTGGGAAAACTGTTAAAAAGGAGCAGAGAAATTTATGGAGTTTCTTTTTTTGAATGCAATAGGAAATTAAGAAATTCAAAGATTATGTCTTTCTATTTGTGTCTACATTGACTTCATCTGATTTCATGCACTGAAAAAGTAACTCTATGTTCAAACTCTTAACCAAATATTGAGAGAGTTTTTGTTTTTAATGCATTTAAAAATAGATCATTAAAACTTTTTGTTTCTGACCTGTAAACACAGACATTATGGAAACAGAAATGACTCTCACTTTAAAATTTATTCAAATCTGTTTGCAGAAATTGCCATCTGATGTCCTGAGTTCACAAAGATGATGCATTAATGAAGTAAATATATTTTCTTTCTTTGTGTTTTGAGGTTTTGGTCAATTTGAAAACTACATAATATCAGTTTCAATTCTGAATATTTACTTACACTTTGCATTTTATGAGATTTCAGAATTATAATGAGAATTAAAACACTTTAGACTCTCAATGTAGGACATTTATTGCTGATCAAAGTTTCTCAATGGATGTTGGCTGATTAAAAAAAACATATTTTTTACAACAAAAATAGTTTTAATTGTGAAATTTTGACTTAAACTTTACATATTATCATCATTTCATGTGATTTGTGAATTAAATTGCTAATTAAAAACACCTTTAATTAAAATCTGCTTAAATGGCAACATGATAAAGTTCTTTATGGTTCAAACAGAACAAACCGAACTCAAGCAGAACAAAGTCCAGATGAAAATCCAGAACCAAGTTTTTAGAGAGGGATGAACACGTCAGAGCAGCACCACGCCTCCACAGGGGGTCACTCTGGGAAATGACCCCGACAGGAGGTCAAAACATGACTCAGCACATTTCACATCACATCTCTTATAATTAGTTGGACTTTTGCAGGAAAATGCAAAACTTTGCCTCCAAAACACAAACACTAAAACTTGATTCGTCGCTGCTTATCTCCTGCAGTCTGCCTCCAGAGTTCATCATCACAATAATAATAAAAATAAGGGGGAAATATCCCGACTGTCCCTGAAGTATCCATTGTGATTCCTAATCAGGCTGAGAATCACCAACTTTTCCTCCTCCATTCAGCTCTGGCTGCTTATGCAGTTCCCACAAGGCATTGCCTTTCAAACTCTTCCTCTCTGTCGCGAAGATCCCCGCAAAAAAATAACAACAACAAAGCAGAAAAATCAAACAAGCGGCGGAAACAAAAGACAAAGTGTCCAGAAATACCTGCTGTGAGCCCAGAGGAAGGCTGGGAGGCTCCCGGTCGGTCGGCCGCCGGTCGGCCGGCCAGATGAGCAGATATTCCCCTGTCCTGCTCTTCCTCCTCCTCCTCTTCCTCCTCCTCCTCCTCCTCGCAGCCTGTCTCCTCTCTGCCGCGGCGCGTTGTGACGCTGCAGCCCGCCTGGCATTTCTAATTAGAGCCGCTGCTGCTGCCGCTATCGGCCGCAGGATCTACCTCTCCCATCTCTCCTGACTCAATCTTCCCCATCTCTGATTTTCTTTTATATTTATGCTGGAATATTTAATTGTAGACAAAAGGTTACCCTGGGCTCCATTCATGGCGCGCAGGCAGAATAATCTCCTTTAAAAGGCTTGACATTTCAGGCTTTTCAAAAGGGGCTGAAAAAAATTATATCCCCTCTTTTGTTAATCAATGAAGTAGAACTCCTCCGAACAAAAGAATGAAATTGCTTGGTTGGGTTAATAAAACGCGCAGAAATAGCTGCTTCCTGCGGGCTTTGTGTTGCCACTGGCTGCACCGCCATCATATGCAACACAACTGTAACTCCATATGATTTGAGGGGCAAAACTCTCATTTCTCCTCACAGTTTGCCTTTTGAAATCCCTCTGGCTGATTGGCTGGCAGCGCATTCAGGTCTGACTTCCACCGCGGAGAGCAGAGCGGCGAGTCCACTGCAATTTACAATTTCTATACTGCCTCTGCCTGGGAAAATACATTGTAATTATGCAAATGATAGGGGCAATAATTAGGCCCTTCACTGTCCCATTGTGTCAGCTGCAGCCGCGTGCTCAGGGTAGACAGTCTGCGCAGAGGATTCTGGGTAAAACAATGCAACAGCAGAGAGATGAGGTGCAGCTCCTGGCAATGATATGGGCGGCATGGGCAACCGCCCAGGGCAGCATGTTTTGTGTGTGTGTGTGTGTGTGTGTGTGTGTGTGTGTGTGTGTGTGTGTGTGTGTGTGTGTGTGTGTGTGTGTGTGTGTGTGTGTGTGTGTAGGAGGCCAGCATGACTTTAATCCCAGACTTCTACATTTAATCTCAGAATTGTGATTCTTTCTTAGAATTTTCTGAAATTAAATTCAGATTTCAAACTTCAGTCTCAAAATTCTGACTTTAATCTCAGAATTTTCACTTTAATCTGAGAATTCTGACTTTTTTTCAGGGATGTGTCGATCTATGTCAAAATTCAAATGAATTACAAAGCATTTTTAGGTAAGTCAATTGAGAATAATTAAAACAGTGTCTTCCTTGTGATGGGATCTGTGAACCTGCACGTTATCCACGCTTTAGATTTGAGTTTTAGGATGAGATTTTCCTGATGGCAAATAATTTAAAAGATTCTGATTCTGAGGAAAAAAAATCTGAATTCTGAAATTCAAGTCCAAGTTATGAGAAAAAGAAAGCTAAAATGATTTTCTTTTTGAAGAAGATGGCCCTTTTAGTGGTCACTGAAAATTAATTATGATTTTAATCTCAGAAATCAAAATGCTGAGGATCAGTGAGCCTGTTTGACTTTTGCTTCATTCGCACTGGAAATCCTTAACCCTGATCTATAAGCATTGTTTACTGTCGGTATTATTTTAATGTTTTGTTTTGCTTGAAGAAAAAAGAAACAGTTTCTCCTCCTGGATTTGTTAATCATGTTATGAAATTAAATTAAAGAAAATCTTTTCATTTTAGAATTACAAATACATAGCTCCCATTTCTGCCTGTCTGGTGACATCATTTTTTAATGATTTACTCAGAACTTGAGAAGCTTTTGTATGACCTGTTGCTCCTCTGTCCACCTGTTAACCTCATTTCATTTCATTGAACGCAGTGAGGTGAGCGGTAACCACAGAAACAAGCAGACGTCTTCAACCGCTCCAGCTGTCGAAGGGGAATCTAAGTTTACGACACTTCCCAACCGTTTGCGGCATAAACACATGGACGCCTGCGGTTAGCAACGATAACTCGAGAGGTCAAAAGTTATGATCCTAATCTGGGAAAGAAGCGGGACATAACACTGAGACATGGTAGGTCCGACCCGATACTCGCCATTCAGTGGGACATGAATAAATAAAATGTGTTCCGGGTTCTGAAAATGACCGGAAAACGTTGAATTCATTAGCTAAGCTAACATTAGCTTCCCTCTCTGTGACCTAACAGCGTGTTATCAAACGCAGCTAATACGTCATTCACTGGTTTAATCGGCTAGTTTAGAGATTTTCCTGAGGCAGATGGTTGCAGTTTTGTGGATGAAACAGAAAGAGAGCGCGCTGGGCTCCGTGTGGAGCAGCAGATGGAGAAAGACTCTCTGTTTCCTCTGGTTTGTGCTTCTTGTGTCCCTGCAGGCCAGCTCCATGGTGGCAGTGGGTCTGGCTCTGGCTGCTGCTGGGTTTGCAGGTAAAAACATGGAGCCCTGCATCTCCACACAGCCTCCTGTCTCACATTTCATCTGTTTGGACTGATTCAGTGAAAAGTGAACCTACTTCAAAACAATCTGTTCAATCATCATCAATCACAAGTCTCACAGAACCAGAGAAAAGAGATGTAGAGAAATGTTCACTTTTTTCTGTAATAAAGTGCATAATGTGGAGTATCAGGATCATTGTAGTTAAAACAGATATTGTCAAAAGGTCAGAAGTGTGCATAAAAAACTCAATTTTCTGACAGTAAAGTTAAACTTTTTCAACACAGAAAGTCAGAAATCTTAAGAATGAAACAACAAATTTATGTTTAAGATTTTTTTGTGGTATTTTGAGTAGGTATGACCTATTTTTTCTTGGGTGTAGATTCACATTGTAAGAAATGTAGTTCTGATGCAGTGAAGGAACCTGAGGAATAATAACTTGAGCAAACATTCACTGATGTAACTTTAAACTGGCTGTATCAGGTTATATCATAGATCCAACATTTCTTTCAGGTTCTGGACATGAAATTTTCACAATAAATGAAACTGAAATGTGTCCATGACCACCAGTTTCAGTCCAAACACTTTTACTGTTGAATCATTGTAATCTACACAGTCAGCAGCAGAGTTTGGTATTAGTTACTTACATTTACTTGAGTAACGTTTTGAAAAAAAAATACATTTAGGAGTATTTTTTAATATGCTATACTTTTTATATTTATTTGAGTAATTTTATTTTGAAGTATTTCTACTCTTACTTGAGTAAAATTTCTTTTTTTTTTCTCTTCTCATTGAATAAAAAACTAATTGTAACTAAAAATCCACCAGACAGAAACACACCTGCAGTTTCTGTTAAAGTTTCTTGATTGAAAAAAGTTGATTTAGGAAAATTTTTTTTTTGCCTAATTTATTGTTATTTATATAAATGATTGTCATTTTGGTCCTTACATACCTAAATATCTACTTAACTTTATATTACTTTATGATGCAATTTTTAAATTTTAAATGATAATTTGATCAGTTACTTTTTTCTTATTCTTGAGTAATTTATTGGTAATTACTTTTTACTTTAATTGAGTAAAAACCTGTTGAATTATTTCTACTTTTGGGAACTCTGCCCCCTCTGGTCATCAGTAAGAACAGCACGTTTTCCCGGCAGGTCGCTACGCCTTGCAGGCCATGAAACAAATGGAGCCACAGGTGAAACAGGCCCTCCAGAGTTTTCCCAAGACGGTAATAAAAAAATAAAAGGAAAAGTTTTTATTTATCATTTTGTGACGCTAACAGTGGGGCCTTTTGTTTGCTGCAGGCCTTTGGCGGAGGATACTACAGAGGCGGCTTTGAACCAAAGATGACAAAGAGAGAAGCTGCTCTGATTTTAGGCGTCAGGTACGTAAAATTTGCATAATGCGTCTCCTTCATGCTGGTGATTTGCACTGTGCTCTCATCCAGCCGTTATCTTTTTAAACTCTTGTTTCCGATTGCGGGATTGATCATTTTTGACAATATTTCTCTTTTTCAGTCCCACAGCCAACAAGAATAAGATCCGAGAAGCCCATAGGAAGCTGATGGTCCTGAACCATCCAGACAGAGGTACGTTCTGCACCCGAGTCCGTCACTAAAACCTGAACTTTTACTGCCAGTGAAACTGAAAGGGTGTTTTTGTCACAGGTGGTTCTCCGTACATCGCTGCAAAAATAAATGAAGCAAAGGACTTGATGGACGGCCAAGCCAAGAAACAGAGCTGAAGATCAGGACGAAATGAAATTCATCTCACGCTGCTTTTGCTCTCTGTTTCATGGACTGACTTAAGGAAGCGCTTGACTTTTTTTGTAATTATTCCCAAATAAAAACAAAACAATAACTGTATCGGAAAGCGTCAATTACTTTACATTTGACAAACGTCTAAAATATTGCTGGATATTGAATTAGTTTTTGTCTCCAAGTTAAGCAAGTTTATTGATATGTTTTCACAAACTGATGTCACAAAACTTAATGCTCTTTTCTTTTTGGTTGGTAAATTAATTTGAGAACTGTATTTTGTATTCACTTTCTGAGCTAAAATTTGAATTATTAGGGATTAATAAGGCAGTTTTTGCTAAAAAAAAATGTTAATATTTAGGTGCAACATCAAAACACAACCTACAACACAACTCCAGTCCAAAAATGAACAATTCCTGCAAAATTGCACCAAAAACCCAACAATATTCACACAAATGCATTTCTGCAGTAATATGAGCACAAGGTGAATTATATAAATGAATCAGACATTTGGGTTCAGATCTACATAGAAGATCCAAGTTTATTTAGGAACTACCTGCGTACAAAACATATTGCACATCAACCAACCAGACAATCCTTAAAAAAGAAACAGTTTACTGTAGTTGACCCAACAAAAACTCTTGGGATGTCACAACTGTCAGTAGTCCAAATCGTAGATGGATGTATGAAAACCTCTGGATATCACGTTTTAGTGTCAAGAAAAAGAAGAGTGTTTATTTTTTTTTATGATTTTTTTTAAATACTGTACACTTTTTAAAAAATAAATAATCCAAATAAATCTTCCTCAGAGGAACAGTCGTGACCAGTTTCCAGCCAGCCAGTGTGGAAGAACCGTGAAAAGCTGCTGTGCTTCGGTTTTCTGCAACATCTCAACACCGGATTCATCCAGTTGTTATGATTTTCAGTCTCCTGAAGCTCTCAGTGTCGTACTTGATCAAATAAAAGGTTGGGTAGAGAAACGTTCCCAGAAAACCAGCAACGCAACGGCTTTCAGACTCGACTACAATCGGCTTTAAGAGTAAAAGGTTACGCTTCAGTGCAAACAAAACAACTCTTCTCATTTCTTTTCCAGATCTGCAGTAATAACATCTCCTATGATCCAAGTGGTTGCATATTAAAGAACAGGAAGCAGCTAAAAGTCAAAAAATCCTCCAGATACACTTAAAGGATCACTGAATCCCCCTCCCAACGACTTTAAGAGCAGAGACACCTGATTTGAAAAGAAGGCTCTGAAACCCCTCAGCATTTCGCACGCCGACTCACCCGGACTGGTTCCACTGGTGGCAGGCGACCCGGACTGGTTCCACTGGTGGCAGGTGAGGGGGGGAGGGATTCCAGATGGAGCGCAGAGCCAGGCAGCAACTTGTTGAGTCTACTCTCAAGGCACGACCGCTGATCACAAGTACGTCACACTTGGGTTTTTCAGCAAACCTTCTGCACTCTGCTCATGCAGAACATTTAACTTGATGCACAAAACGTCCCAAAAAGAAACGATTCCGCTACGTTCACCTGATAGAAGGCAGACTACGACATTATGAACCAGGAAAACGGCTGCATCCACACCACAGTATCTGATTAAAATCCCTGTCTGCATTATGTAAATACTGCACTCAGTCTGAGCTCTAAGAGGAAGAGAAGACTAAAGGTGCAGCTCTAAGTGTGTGTGTGTGTGTGTGTGTGTGTGTGTGTGTGTGTGTGTGTGTGTGTGTGTGTGTGTGTGTGTGTGTGTGTGTGTGTGACTATCTTTGGCAAGCTCATATTGGAAGAAGTATTGAAAAGAGAAACAGAAGCAGAGATAAACATGTAAAGGTCGGGGTTCAGAGCGCTAAAAGGTTTGCTGCAGAACGGGTTTCAAATATTAAGTAAAAAAAACAAACAAAAAAAACAACAAACAAACAAACAAACAATGTTTGTTGTGTTTAGATGTTAACATTGACGCCTCTATGCCGACATGAATTTCCAATCAAATGTCGTCACTATTTGAAACCATTTCCTTTGCTGGGGTCTGACTAGGAGAGTCCGTTCATGACGGGTTGTGGGTTCGAGTCCTTCTTGTAGGAGGAGTCTTTCGGGGCGGCGACGTCGGACCCGTCGTCGTTGGAGCCGTTGGTGGTTGCCGGAGCCGACTGTGGGCTGTGCTCAGCAATGACCTCCGCCTGACCCTGAACACACGGAAGCAAAAACACGATGAGGGAGAAACTGGAAAGTTCAAAGGAAGGAAAAAATCAGCTGGTCTCACAACTGAATATAGCTGCGTTTCCATCGACTGTAAAACTGCGGAAATGACGGAAAATAAGCTTCATTTGATGAAACCTTTTTGCACTAGGATGCGGCGGATTTTCAGCCACATTAAAACTGGTGGAAACGATGAAGACGAGGAGGAAGATTATATTTCTTAACGACTTAATTGCACAGACAAACTTATTCACTCTTGATTTTCATTGAATTTCTTATTAAATGCAAGAAACGCAATTGCAAAATTCCACTAAAGTTGAAAAAAAGTTGACCATGAAATTGTGCAAATTAGAATTAGAAAACTGAATTTGCTCAATGGAAACATGGCAATTACAGAAAAAGAGACCAATAAAAAGTTACTGCGATGATTTGGCTGCATTGAAAATAGTTTATTTCGCCAAACTGCAACTGAAAGTTTCTTTGCGTCAATCAGCTGTTTCTACTGGCGGAAACAACAAAGAAGACGACAGGAAGTGGTAGGAAGATGATGGTGCTGCATGTTTTTTAACAAACTTATTTACAAATTTCTTAATTGAAGAACTGCAACTTCTCTAAATTGTTTTTTTTTTACATTAGCGGAATATCGATAAAGTTTTGCGCACATTTATAATGGAAACGTCGCTACAAGGTGCGTTTCCATTGCCCTTAAAATTGAGTAAATGTCAATTATGACGATAAATTTGCTTAATGGAAACAGCTCAGCTTAAAAGAAAAACTTTTTTGCCAATATCAGGTGGTTTTTCGGCTGCATCAAAATGAATGCATTTGGCAGTGGAAAAACATTTTTTTGCGTCGCGTTCGTAGTGGAAACGCAGCTGCTGTAGCGTTTACTGACCACTTCCTTGTTTTTCTTGGTATCCTTGGCGGTCGTCTGTCTGCTCTGAGATTCAGCCCTGGATATGTAGTCGGCCACAGTCACTGCATCAACAACCCAACAAAAACCCTCTCAGGTTAATCAACCAAACACAAACTGGGTCCAGGTCCGAAGGAAAGCCGAGCTCTAAACGTTCAGCTTCGTCTTCACTCAACAGGAAAAAACAGGCAACAGCAGCCGATTTATCACAACATCGTTTACAGGCTAACATAAAAATATTCATCTTTAAAACCACAAACTTGAGTGAATTTTAGATTTTCTGTGACAAGCCAACACAAAGTAGAAAATATTTATGAAGCGAAGGGAAGATAATTAGTGATGAACCGATTTGTAAATTTGGGCCAACATTGGTATCAAATATTAATATTGATGTTCTGGCAGCAAATATTTACCAATAATTATATGTTTCTAAATTTATTCAATCAATACAGATGGAAACAACAGTTTACCTTTAGAACTGATGCATATTTGTAAAAAAATGACAAACGTAATGAGTAATTAATTAATCAATCAATCTCATGAGAAATTAGAATGAGCTGAGTAATTTTTTTGAAGCCAAGTTTTGTTTACAGACTTCATTGGTTTCTGTTGTCAACTTGCCAACATAACATATTAGATGTACGCCTGATATAAAAGTGAAAATGGATGCAGTGCTTTGCCACTGATTGTAGACAACTACAGCAACTTGATGAAGTCAGGAAACGGTTAAAGTTTAAAATAAAAAGTCGGGTAAAAGGAAGTAGGTGAGTTATGCTAGCTTGACTATGACAACCTTAACATGTCGATGTGCTGCAGAATTCTGTGTTTTGGTTCTGTTAAAAAATAAGAAAAGGCGACTTAAACAGCAACTCACAGATAATCAGCAGAGCAGATATTTAAATCAACGCTGCTTTTAGCTAGGCTAATAGCAGCGGTAGCTAATCTCCAACAGCGACCACTTCTTAAAGGTCACCAAATAAACATCAAGCCTGAAAACCAAAAACTAACGGACTGAATGTTCTGTTCTTTGTGAGGGAAATGTTTGAGAGCTTTTTGGTTTTAATCCTGAAACATATTGTGGCGTTGTCGGTTTCTATGGCAAAAACAAGACTAAAAGTTGTTTTGTGTTTATTTTTTCCTATGCTGTGGTGAACTGCACTGAGTTATTTAGTTAATGGTATCAGTTTACCGCTGCAGCTACAGGAAAAAGGCAGAGGATGGAAACAACGGGTAATTTTATTTTGGTAGCATTTCCAGCAACAAGGCAACTCAAAGTGCAAAGTGTTGTGTTCTGTTAGGAACATGCAACATTCATGCTGGTTAATTTCTGCTGCATTTCGTTCTCTGCTGCTGTCCCACAACCAAACGTGAGCAGCGGTGGAGAAGTGAGCAGCGACGCCTGAGCTGCGGCGTTACCTGGCTGCCTCTCCTCAGGCAGGCGCATGCGGCGGCGGCGGCTGCGATTGCGACGCTGAGGTTTTGCTTCGGACAAATCTGGGAACGTTGGGTCATCACAAAGAAACGGGTTGGTTCCTCTGTTATGGTTTGAGCCTGAATGCTAACAGCAGCTCTTCTGCCTCCGACTCGGTAAATGGAATTATGGAAAATTTATGCTCCACAGTAAATAAAAACGAGACATACCTATTCCATTTTCGCTGACGGAGGCGTTGTCGGACTCGCTCATGCCGTCTATCAGGGTGGCGTCCTCGTCTGTCCTGCGCCGCCGGGAGCGACGGCGGCGGTTGGCGGGCAGGTTGGACTCGCTGGCGTCCGTGTCGGCCGTCTGGTCCGTCTCCGTGTTGGCCTCCAGGCTCCCGTAGGGGGGATTGTTCTCGTGATCCCTACCACCTGCACAAAAAACACTTGTACATTTTTCCCACAGTTCCAAATGGTCTTTTTTAGTTCATTTTTACTGCTTTTATCTTTAATTTCAATTTATTTCTACCATCAATAGTGTTTATACTGAAATATGAACTTTGTTGTTTTATAGTTTTCATTTTATTGTTTCCAGTTGCTCAGTGACCTTTGAAAGGCAGCTTCAAATAAATTAATTACTATTATTAATATAACTGACTGAAACAAAACACAAATTTAACAAAAATCCCCCAATTTCAGTAACTTTGTTTACTGCAGAAAATGTATTATTCCTAATAAGTCATTAGGAATAATGAACATTTATTACATCCAAACAAATGGAGTTCAGGTTAAAGACTTTGTTCTTCTTGCTCAAATGCTAATATATGCAAAGAAAGTTGCAACAAAAATCTCTAAACAATAATTCTCAGCAGGTTTTCTGACATTTAGCAAATGTGAATAACTTTGGTAGTTTTAACTAATCAAGAAAAGTTTAGTCTGTTCAACTTCAGACAGTAAGAAAAAAATGTGTCTGTATTTTTATGAGGCGTATCTGGTTCCAACTTTTCCAAATTGTTTTCATCAAAAGTTAAATTAAAATTTATCATAAAACTGAGCAGTTTGAATATCAAGGACCGGATTGAATTCAAGCGTTTTCCAGGATTTCAACCAGAATCCTGAAAGTTGTCGGCACAAAGTTATGATCTGATAGGGAAAGTTTCATATTGTTTCTTATTTGAAAGTGAATTGTACCAGAGTTGTATCCGTATCCTCCTCTTCCTCTGCCTCTTCCTCCCCCTCGGCCCCGGCCGGGTCCGGGCCTCCGGCGCCCGTCCCTCTGTGGGCGAGGGCCTCGCTCTCTCTCCCTGCAAATTTAAAAAACCAAATGGAAATAAGGACTCCGGAGATCCGAGCGTCGCCTGGAGTTGAAACGTTTCTGCAGCTTTTCTGTGATGAGGAAATTGCAAGCTCACCCGTCCAGGTCCTCTCCTGCCAGCGACCAATCACTGAGCTCGTCTTTACGCTCTGAATCCGTCTCAGAGGGATTCGAATGCTCCGAATTGGCGCCTGGATTTAAGACGATGCAGGAAAATCAAACAAGAAAGAATAAACAGCAGGAATCAAGATTAATGGACAAGACATGACATAAATTCCCAGAGTATTCTGTCTTTCCAACTCAAAACTTTTAAATTACTTCACGATTATCTCAATAATCGATTAAAGGGACAGTATTAATTCCCTTTAATTGTACCATTTTGTAGCGAAGAAGAAGAACAGGAAGGGAAGGAAGAAGAGAGGAAGGATGGATAATCAGATAAACACAGAGAGAGAAATCCAACTTTTACAGAAAAGGACAGTTAAAGAAGTTTGCAAACAGAAACGTTTTCCATACAAATCCAGATTTGGAAATGAAATCTAAAGTTTTCCTGAAGAAATGAATTATTAGGCAGGTGCTGCTGGTGCTGCAGGTGCTACAGGTGCTGCAGGTGCGTACCGTATCCAGTGTTGTAGCTGTGGCCTCTCCGGCCGCGCCCCCTGCTGTTGTAGGAGCGGCTGCCGCGCAGCGAGGCTGACGACGCGTTGGCGCCGTTGTCTGCGTTATAGCCCCCGCCGCCTCTCTCTCCTCGCTCGCCCCGCTCCCGATCGACCGGCCGGTGACCTTGGGTGATCTGACGCAACTGCTCATCGATCTGCATCCGCTCCAGACGAAGCTGCTCAACCTCCTTACACAAAGAAAGTCAGAACGAGGACAAAAATGAGAAGATAAGAAGAGAAAGAGGGTGACTGGCTGACGCGTTGATGCCGTTTAAAACAGATGGAATAATAAGGCAAAGCTGACATTTTGAAGGTCACCACAGGATGTGCATGCAGAGACATCATACACACATCTACACTGCATCCAGAGCGCCTTGTCCTGTTTACACTGAATCTGGCTAGGCTGCTTCTCTGAGCACAAGCCGCAATCTGCCTCAGCTCTTCGTCTAGCTGCTGGCTCTCCGTAAGCAGCTCCACCATGGCCTACACACACACACACACACACACACACACACACACACACACACACACACGCACGCGCGCACACACACACACACACACACACGCGCGCGCACAAACCCCGCAGCAGGACCGCAGACATGCAGACAGCACAGGACACACACACAGGACAAAGTGTGTGAGTAAAGCAGAGGACATTCTGAATTATTAGGACAATAAACGGTAGATATTCGCTACATGGCTGCACAATTTTACACGCATGCAGAGAAGAAGACGACGATGAATAAATTTTATTTATTTAGCATTTTTTCAGTCCAGTTCAAAGCGCTTCACATTAATTAGAAGGAAAAACAACACAAGCACAATAAAAGCAAAACTACATTTTAAAATGTTCCAGCTGTTCTGAGTTGCTCAGTATTTTCTTCATTAGTTCAAGATTAGGAAAGAATAAAGATAAATGTCGGTTCTCCATGTTGGATTCTTGTTCCGAGTTGCTAAGAACTCCATAATTTATAAGCTAACAGGAGTTTCTCCAGATCCTTCTCCGAAATTAAAAATATAAAGCCAAGTTATGATGCTGTTTATCACTGTGTCGACAACAGATTGTGATTCATTTATTCTTTTTGTTGTTTTGCCTCAAAATACTTGTGATTTGGGCAACTAATGCTAATCTTAGGTAGCAATTCATCAATTAATCTGATGAGTTATAAATTAATCTGGAAAACTGGCAGATTCTGCAGATGTTTTATAAAATACTAAAATACATTCGCAGATTCAAGTCATTCAATTAATTTTTACATAAGAAAATAAAAATTTCATTGCCAAAACTGCAACAACACTGTTACTTTAGTGAACTTTGCGATATATATGCATTTATTTTGGTTTAGTTGATCTGAATGTGTTGCTCTTTCATCAAATGGCCTTTTCTCCAGTCTGTTAACAATTAATCGATTACTGAATTAGTCTCAATAATAATTCGGTACCCAGAGAGAAGCCACACTGGAGAACATGCAAGAAAAGCCCCCAAGCTGGGATTTGAACCCAGGACCTTCTGGTTGCTAGGCAACTGCAACACCCATCCAGCTAGGATTGTACTAATAAACAGCGACGCTTTGGTTCGATAGATGCTGCAGCTCTTCTCCGTTAGACCTCAGCAGAACAAGCTGAAGCAGCCAGTGAAAGTCAGTCAGTTCATGCAGAAGGAAGGAGAATAAAAGATGGCTTACATTCAAGTAGGAGATGTGATACTCCAACAGGACCTGAACGTTGCCGATACTCTCCTTAGTACCGACAAACGTAAAGGGGACCATTCCCTGTGTCAACAAAACACAAACACCCAACACACACGTTAGTACGAACTGAGAGTGTGCGTCATCCGAGTCCATCGTTGTTTTCTATAATCCTGATGCTGGGTTAAAGGAAGTGATGCGGGAGAAGCATTCTTACTTCCTGTCTGGGTTGCTTGTTGTCGTTGTCTCCTTCTATTCGGACCCGGACCACACCAGACTTATCCACGATCTCCTGGATCACCTTCCCATTCTTACCAATCACTTTGCCTGCAGACAGGAACAGACGGAAAGCATGAAGCTTTAAAAACATGCTTTTAGATCAGGGGAGAAAATACATTTACATGGATAAAAATGAATAAATATCAAAGCAAAACAAAAAAGAACCCCTGCAGAATCTGCACACTGTCCATCTTGAGAAAGAAAACTACAATTACAACTTTTACTCAGATATTTTGGGTGTTGATGTTGAAACAAACTAAAACTCTGCATACCAACAAGATTCCTTGGCACCTGGACTGAATCCTCCACAAACTCCAGGAAGCTTCTGGCCTTCTTCACAGCTTCCTCCGTCTAAATTACAACACAAACATGATCTGGATTAAAAACCACAACAAATTAAGAAAAAATAAGTCAGAAAAGTCTAGGAAAATCTTAAAATCAGGTCCAACAACAGGACTAAGAAGCAGGTATTTGTGTTATCTACTGTTTCAGATAACATTAGATCAAAACCTTAAAACTATTTTTCATATAAACAACGTAAACAACCACAAACAAAGGCAGGTAAAATACTGGGGAAATGATTGTGATAAACTATCATGTTGCTGTTTTGAGACCATTTAACAGCATAATAATCACCCTCTAGATCAATAAACTTTAAATTCTAAAGAACATTCAACACTGAAACTGGAAGACAGATTAGATATCCAAAATAAACAAAGCAACAAATAAATTGAATTATGAAGTCTCTGAAACAAAATTGCTGCTCATAAAAATGTCGAGTCGAGACAAAAGCACCAGACTGAAGTCGTCCAGTTTTTGGTAGAAAGAGAGAAAAGACAAACAATAAACCCTGCAAATGGAAATAACTGAGCTTGTTTTATTTTATTAATGGCCTGGTTCCACCATCGCACCTCTCCGTAGATCCTGAAGGTTCCGGTCTCCTCGTCCAACTCGATGGCGGTGACCCCTGGGAGCTTCCTGGCCTGCTGGATGTTGCTGCCATGGCTGCCGATGGCCAGGCCCATCAGGTCTGGCCTCACGATGAACTCCTGCTGGAAGGACGACACCAGCTGCCTGGAGGTCTAAAACGCCCGACACAAGACTGGGAAATTAACTCAAAGTCAATCTGGGTGCCTTCTGTGACAGATGACCTGCAGTGACCTCCTGACCTCCAGGTGCTTTGTGGCCTCCTGGTTGCGTGACATCAGCAGCAGCTTGGTTCTCAGGCTGCGCAGGTGCATGTCGCTCAGCAGAGACACGCGCTTCACTGTCGTCTCATTGGTGGACTGCACACAGAAACAGGAAGTGACCAAACCCAAAAGGAGCAGAGTGCGAAACATTTCACTCAGCTGGGAGTAAAACGACTTCAACTTATTTCTACTCAAGTAAAAAGCAGCCAAAATGACTCAAGCAAGAGTAAAAAGTCCACTAAAGTGCTGACTAACTGATCAAATTATCAATCACTTCATGTTTAAAAATTACATCAGACGGAACAAATATAAAATTAAATGGAAATTTCTGTCTTTCAAAATGACAATAATTTATATAAGTGACAAAAAAACAACAAAATGAAAGTTTCTGTCAATAAAAAGCTGCATTTTTTAGAGTGTATCAATCATTTAATATTCAAAAATGACCCTAGCAGGCAGACCAAATTATAAAAGTTATGTGGAAATGTTGATATTTTAAAGATCAAAATCATTCATATCAGTAACATAATTAGAAATAATAATAATCAAAATTTTCAAATCAGTTTCTTTCAATAAAAATATCATAAACTTCATAATTTGTCTGGTAAAACTTCTGGTTAATCCAGAAAATTTTCCTCCAGTAAGAGTAGAGATACTCCACCTGAAATTAGTCAAGGAAAAATACAAATCTTCCTAAAAGGAAAGTTGTTCCAAACAGTTAGTCAGGTGAATGTAACTAGTTACTGTCCGCCTGTGGCGATAAGTAAAGGTCAGGCAGCGTTACCACGATCTGCAGCTCGCTGCTCTCTGGGCAGAACGAAACCCGACAGGCGCCAACGGCTTTCTTGAAATCCTTGTGTGCGTTTTCGTTCTGGCACCTGCAACACAGGAACACGGCACACATTTCCATAAAACAGACAACAGAACCCACTTTTTTCACTGCCGGTACCGATATCTGCTCCGATCCCGTACAGAAAAAAACCAGAATCACCTCCAAGCTACGGGTGTTTATCATTTATCGCGATAAATTTCTTATTATGATAGGAATTTTGATTTATTGTTGTCACAGAAAATTCCACTTAATGTTGCTTAAAACCCCTCAAAATATTTAGATTGTTCGTTTTCATCATTTTATCCCCTTTTTGTTCAATGAAAGCATCAATGAATACCAATAAATTTGAAAATATGATCAAATGACTTTACGATTTGCAGTTTAATGATCTAAATCACCATTATTTATGCGACTGGTGTCCTGAAGAAGCAAAATGCAAATAGGAATATTTTTCAAGCGGTTTCTGTGTTTTTGGGGATATATTTTCTGTGACACCCAGTAACCAAAAACATTAGTAATAAATACTTCTTATGGTCACTTTTATTATTATCACAGCACTACCACACAGTGACACACGATACGACATCGTCACCGACATCATTCATACCAAAGCACAGAATTAGACTGAATAGATCAGGAACATTGTCACCAATCGCTGAAGTTGAATTTCTTTTAAATATTTGGGTCGATACAGATATAAATATGGCATCTGCAACGTTACGCACGCTTCCTGCAGATCCTGAGGAACGGAGACGGTGCACTTGTGAAAGGAGTTCTTGGTGACGGCCTTGTTGGGGTTGACCGGCCGCAAACGCTCGAACGTTACGATCTCGTTGTAGGTGGCGTCACAAGCGGCGTATTCGATCACGTAGAACTGGGAACGCAGAACACAAACACATAAATTTTACATTTGGTACATTTAAAACAAATGAATGAAAGGTTTGGTAAATTTAGACCAAAGCCTAGAAACTTTCTGCCACATTAAGAAACTCACATCTCCCTTCATCATGCGGACTTTGGCCAGCCACCATCCACAAGGCTCCTGTTCGTTGGCTCTGGAGAGAATCTGACAACAATAACCCAGATATGAGAAGGGCTGGCAGGAACTAGTTACATTTACTCAACATTTTTGAAAAAAAATTTACTTTAGGAAGAGCCATACTTTTACTTTTACTCCAGTAAGAGTACTTCTACTCTTACTGGAGTCAAATTTTTGGATTTTCTACCCACCGAATGAAAAACAAACATGTTTTAACCAGAACAAACTCAGACACACACCTGCAGTTCCTTTTAGTAAAACAAGTTTTTATTAAAAGAAACTAATTTGGAATTTTTTTTATTTTGACTGATGTTGATATGTTTTGTTATCTATATGAATTTGTGTAAATTTCATCCTTAAAATACCAAAATTTGTGTTCAGTTTTATATTTTGTTCTGTCTGATGATGTAATTTTAAATATCAAATGATTGATAATTTCATCAGTTACTCAGTACTTGAGTAATTTTACTCGAGTAATTTCTTGGACAGATACTTTTTACTTTTTACTAAAACTATGTTGAAGTCGTGCTGCTTTTATTTACGTTGGAGGATTTTATTGATTTAAAATTTTTTTGATAATGGAAGATTTAATTTTTGGAAGAAAACCATTGCATTCATTGGGTTTCTGCAGCTCAGCCATGTTCTCTGCAGCTCAGCCATGTTCACTGCAGCGTCATCATACTTCACCAAAAAACACAACGTCAACATCCCCGCGGCGGCCATCTTGGTTTTACAGCTTCTACTTAAGACTTTGAATTCAGGTCAACTCTACGACAGAATATTGGCACCAGGCTAAGATTACATTTTATTTAATTTTGAGAATACACAGCAAAAACACAAAATCTTAAATTATTTCTACTAAATAATTTTGTTCACTTCAAAAAGTAAGAATAAACGAACTTACAAATAACTTCTGATCAATTATAGTACCACTATTTCTTAATAGTGGTACTATTAGATTAATTCACTTATATCAATACATTTCTCCTGTAGGTGAAATAATTTGCCAATGGAACAAATACTTTTTATCAATATTTAAAAAATTATTTTGTTAAAAAAAGCTCATTTATTGCTTAAAAGTTACTTGTGAATTAGTTTTGTCTTATTTCAAAATATTAAGATATTTGCACTAAAAATAAAACAAAATTATTTGGTAAAATGTTGTAGTTTTGCAGAGAAAAGTTGTAATATTAGGTGAAAAAGTCAGGAATCTTGAGAATCTTGTGATGTTATTGCAGATGAATAGAAATACTACATTTTTAACACATTAGCATCAAATCGAATGTAGAAACAACTGAGTCTGTTTACAACAACTGAGCTGCATCATCAGATCTTCATCACTTTAGAAGGTTTTTACTCATTAAAATGACATTTTTCGAGTGAAATCTCATCTTTATTCTGTTAATATTGCGACTATATTCTTATAATTGCAGAATTGTCGCATCCTGTCCCTAATAATCCAAACTACATTTCACAGAAAAGATGACGGAAATAAAAACCGTTTTTTGTAAATATCTTTTTTTTTTTTAGAAAAGAAAGCAAGCAAAAGGAAAAGTTGATTGAGAATCTGCCATTTTATTTTTAATCCATGTCGTCCAGCTTTAGTAGTAAATTGGGAGAACGGGGAACAGAGAGGAGGAAAACGTGGCCTCACCTCCACCTCTTCTCCTTCTCCGATCTCCTTCTTGACATCAGCAGGTGGAGGCAGCCTGACGTCGCTGAAGGGCACCTGGCGTTCTGGCTGCCAGCTGAAACACAACCACCACACCTTATTAAAAACACAACGGTTTTCTGTGTTGGCTTGTTTACATGTTGAAGAAGGAGACTTGCTTACTTCTTCTCAAAGGCAATGGTGAGAGAGTCATCGTGGATATCTTTGACAAAGCCCTGCAGGACAAAAACAGGTGAATAAAAGCAGCTTTTATTAGCAAATAAACCAAATAACTCACTTATTTTGGTCAGTGATTATTCTATCAATAATTAAGGCTTACATGTTTAAGTTAAAGAAAATATGAATATTAATTATCTGACTGCCAGATTTTTCACTTAACCACATAAGTATTTTTACACAGAATATTAGAAATGTATTAAAAGATGCAAATAAATTTTTTTAATTAGAAAATAAATATTTTATTCCCTAAAGTGCAATAACAGTATTTACTTTGTAGATTTGTAGCAAAAAAGCTAAAAATTTGGATTATGTTTCATAATAAATTAATAATTGGACAGAAAAAGGTGTTTAATAGGATAAATACATATTTTACGGATTTGAAGCTAAAACTGAGGAGTTCTGGCAGAACAAAGAAGATTTCTCATCTTAAATATAAATTATAAATATCTTTTGTACAGTTTTGGCTTAAATACGTCCCTTACTGTGTTGTTGTTTCACCAGTTTGTCTGTCGTACTTCAGTTAGCGATTAATCACTTCCTAAATTAGTTGACAATTATTTCAATAATTAACTGCGATTAATAATTCAAGCCATAATCAAAATGCATTTTTCTTCCTTTGATGCCTTTTACTAAAATATGGTTTTAAATGCAATAAACAAGAAAATAATCACTTATGATATTGCTAATAATAATTGCTACAAATATATTATTTAGTGTTATTAATTTCTCGAATGTTTTCCTAAATCTTTGCTCTCTTTGCCGTAACTCTCAGATGCTGCGCTCTGCGGTTAGCATCTCAGCTACTAAATATAGGCATCAGGTGTGCGCATTAAAATCCATCCAGCTGTCCAAATATATTTTTAACATTCAAAACATGTCGGCCTGACACTGGAAGCAGAGCAGCCAACTAAATATTGCAAGAAATCACCCAGACTGCGATGACAACTCAGTTTGTTTTTTCCTTCATTAATAAATTAGCATAGTGTAGCTCCAGCTAGCATGACATCATACATGTGTCTGTCATGATTACAAATATTTCTGAACAATAAACTGTCTGGGAAATATTATAAATATAATATTGTTGTTTTGAGATACTTTTTTGACAAATGTATCAAGATAATAGCTTGATAATGCAAAAACATCCTCTCAAAAATTAACAAGCTTTAATTTCCAAAGAACTTTAAACTTAAATATCCAAAATAAACAAACAAAACAACAGACATAATGAATAATATTGGTTTTTAAAGTATCAACAAAGTAAAATTGCCTTTCAAATTATATTATTTATTAGGCTCAGCAGGGGAAACATGAAAAACTGCAGTGAGGAGTTTTGTAAAATAAATTAAAAACATAAACCAACTATTTTGTAGCTTTTTCCAAGATGGCGGCTTTTCAATAATATTACATGGCTTAATGTTTAATTGTGCTTAATTAAACATTAAGCAAAATAGTCAAACAAGAATGAAAATGCATTGGTCTCATTTTCAATTATCATTAAAAGATTGATTTATTGCTTATTGTTGTCACACAACAAATATTTTACACTATAAATTACATTTGTGTATTTAAAATGGAGGCTAAACACTAAAACAAGATGTCAAATGTACAGCAGCGTCCCGTTTCTAAAAAACTATTATTTTAATCATTTAAATAGTTAATTTAAAGCATTTTTAGGTCTGTGACCTAAAAATGATAGTTGAATCGCTCCTGTTGTTTACAACCCAACACTTTAAAATGTATACATTTTTATTGATATGTTGAATATTTAAGTTTCAAACAGCAGTTTGATTAATTTTGGATTTGATCTTGTGGTGTTTATACGCAGAAAAGATTAAAAGTACCTTCAAGGACTCACTACTGTAACTTTTATGCAAGTCAGCAGAAACCCAACCCAAAACATCATGTTAATGGTTACAGATAATATACAACTTAATGAGTCTGAAATATCTCTAGTGGAGTGGGTTACAGTGGAAAAGCCTTGGGGAAAGTATGAATCACACATGGAAGTGAAAGAAGAAACAAAAGGCAGGATAAGGAAAGGAGAGCTGAAAAACATGAGGGTATCACTTTGGGTCGGAGGTCCAGAAATAGCCTGGAAGTGTGCGGTATCAGCGACCCGGTTCTGGCCTGGCAGCAGGGCGGGAGTGACAGGGAACAGCTGGCTCATACATAGTGGAGATAGCTGGGACGTGATCAGGTGTCAAATAATAGACGGCGACAGAAAGTGGCAGTCTGTTCAAAAAATACCCGCAGCTTGATTTTTAATTGAAAACCCCAAAATAAAGCACGTGTTGTAGTCCTAACGCTCATATACAGACAGAAAAGGGGATGAATGTTACCTGGACACCGTGTTTACTCAACATCTTCAGACGTCAACAGTTTGCCAGCTAGCATGTGAGCTAGCTGTTAGCTAAGGAAGACGAGGCTCAGGGTGAAACTAGACTGGTGGACGGAGCTTTCATTAGTTTAATAATCACTACAGCACAGAACAGACCATATTATTTCCTCTTAGCGTTTAACAAATGTCGTTAAAAAGTAAATCAGACCTGCTAGCATCGTTAGCTTAGCTTGCTAATTCGTGCTAGCTCCGCGCTCGCCGTCTAATGATGGACCCAGAACCGGTCCGAACGACGGCCCGCGGTACCTGGTGTTCCAGCAGAACATGCAGTACTTGATAACGACATGTTAAGTTTCCAGACGTGTTGTGTATCCGGGATTTACCTTGTAATAAGCGCCGTTGGAGCCACGGACCTCCACCGCCAGTTCTTCCATGTTGGACACGCAAAGGAAGCCGGGACGACAGGTGTTCCTGACGCACCGGGTCAAACGCGGATGAGTTTCCGTCCTTCTGCTTTTTCCGTCCACTTTTTACCCTGGGAGTTCAATAATCAGTTCTACATCGCTGTGAAATTATAGTCTGTGCTAAGTAGCAAAAGGAGAAGATGCGCATGCTCAGATTGAAAACAAAATAATAAACTGCGCACGTGATTAAAAGTGCGCAGTTTATTGATGAAAAGTAGAAACAGTCTTTCCTTTTTTTACCTTAATTTATTCCCGCCACCAAAACAAATATGGTGATTTTATTTACACACCTCATAAAGGAAAATTGTTCTAATTAAGTTTACATGAGAGGTGCTCAAAGTGTGGCTCGGGGCCGTCTGCATCCCCTGCGGTGGATTTGTGCGGTCCTCCTACTGCAGTTTGACATTGATAGAAGTTAGTTAGCCCTGCTAGCACATGGGGAGCCCTTTTCATTTAATTACGTTAGAATTATAACCATCGTTCTTTCCTACAATTTTCAACCAAAAATAAAAAAATGTTGATGAAGCAGATGAATATCGTGCCATTCTTGGAAATGAGTATCAGAAATTTGAACTTATTAATAACCCTACTAGCAAAATTAATATAGATTAGAATGGAAATTCAGATGTACCAAATAAAAGGTAAATAGAAGCCTGCATATTCCCAGGTAGCTTGATAAAAACAAATATATCTGCCACGTCTTTTTAATAAACAATATTGTGCACACGGTTTTGGTTTCAGAACTTTTCTGCCCACGCTTTAAACATGCCAGACCTATAGGGGGCAGTGTAGCACAAAACTAAACCCTATGCCAGACAATCAGAAAGGTTCAAAACAATCACAACTTCCTGTTATGAATCAAACATGGCGCCAGGAGGTTCAGCTGTTTGGACAAATAGATGGCTTGAGCTACTTTTAAATAATATATTATAATATAAAGTTATTAAAACAACAAGATTATGTTGTTTGGAAATTATGTCAAAGGAAGTGTTTGGATTATATTGGCACATCATTTGTGGTCGACTGCACTACATGTCAGACCCTAAAACTCAGTTTTCTCTACATAAACATGAACACAGTTTCCTCACATCTCCACTTAATTTTCATAAATAATCATTTGAATGATATTTAACAGAGGGTCTGTATGGATAAAAGACCAGATCTGTTTCTTTTGCAGTTATGTTTAGTCAGTTTATGTATTAAAAGACAGAACATTAGATAAAACTACATCAGTCTACCTTGTAAATGTCGCACATTCAGCCTTAAAACTTCATTTTCATCTGCATGGCCTGGAAAAGAAAAGGATTAAAGCTTTAAGACAATTTCAGAAATCTTATAAAATGTCTTAACAGTTATATGATGGAGTAATGAAGCCATATAAGGAAAATAAATAAAAACTAAAATACGAGCGTGAAGTCATGAAATTATGAGAATAAAGTCAATATTACAACTTTATTCTCATAATTTTATGACTTTATTATTGCATGACTATTTCCATATGACTTCATTTGAGTAATTTCACATATTTCTTTTTTATTTTTTCTCATTATGTCCCTAAAGCCAAGCAGCTTTATTCTGCTGGGCCGTATTTGGACGGATCTCACGTTCTCTTAGAGAAACCGTGAACTCAGAGCTGTAAATTGCTTCTCCTGGTGATGCTGCTGAAAGTGCCAGTCAGCTCATTGTCATGCTGAGTCGTGACATTTATCATACAGTGAGGCATTTCTGTCCTGATGAGAGTTAATTCTCCCAGATTGGAAGGTCACTGATGGGAGTACACATGTGAAACCAGTGACTGCATGAAGCATCCAGGAAGACTTGCAAACATTCAAGCTAGGCTTTCCAGCAGCTAACAAATAACATACAATAATAAAACAACTCAAAGTTTACAGTCTAAGCTTGAGGAATTATGATACTGTTAAGACATGAACACAGAAACATTTCAAAATGCTTTTTATGATCAATCGAGTTTATTTGTGTTTCAAATTCCAGCAACAAGGGAGATCAAAGCGCTTTACATCATAAAAACACAAAAATCAGCCACTGAAACTTACATTGTGCTTTATTAAAATGTTGGTTAATGTTTCATTTATTATGATTCTAAAGCAGCTCTAACCAGCTGGGTTAGAGCTGGTTAGGAACTCTGTGTTTCGGCTATTTGCAGTTTTCTGGGAATTTGTTCTGAATTTGAAGCTGAATGTTGCTTCTCCATGTTTGGTTCCTGAACACCTGAGAGGTCTGGAAGTTTGCTATGACAACAGCAGCAGGTGTTTAATGTATTGTGGTGCTACGCTGTTCAGTGATTTATAAACTACCAACAGCATTTTAAAGTTTATTCTTTCAGAGGGAGAATGATGTGCTCTGACTTCCTGGTTTTAGTCAGAACTCCAGCAGCAGAGGTTTGGATCTTCTGATTGATTTTTTCAGACAGACCTGTGAAAACACTACTGCAATAATCAATAGGACTAAAGATAAACACATGAAGCAGTTTCTGTAATACTGAGACATTAGCCCTTTAATCTGGGAAATGTTCTTCAGGTGACAGGAGACCAACTTTGTAACCGTCTTTATGTGGCTCTGAATGTTCAGGTCAGAGTTCATCACTACACTTAGACACTTCGCTCTGAATGTGAGGAAATGAAGCACATTTTCTTAAAAAAAAAAACACATTTTGTAATAGTATGTGAATCAAACAGCAGTATTTTTAATATGCTATGTGCGGTAACTCATATTTTGTTTTTGATCTGATATTAAGTAAATACAGGGACAATATCACCGATACCAACTTTTTATTACTTTAGTTGGATGTATAATCAAACCTTTGACCTTTAGATGTTTTTATGGTTTTTCCTTTTGATTATTTTGTTTGAAAAGTGCAAAATACTTTAATAACATAAACATGATCAACAGAAACAATAGGAGAACTAATTTCTAATTAATTATTTTGTCTAAATGAACAAATTGCAAAAAACAAAAAAACAAAAACAACTTTAGCAACTGAGAAAAAAATTATTTTTTTAGGTAGAATTGAAAACTACAATACAAAAATGTAATTTCAAGAATCTAAAACTAAAGTATCGATCAGACATTGATTCTGAATTGACATCGATACTTTGGATCGATCCGTCTTCCGACAAATTTATTTTTGACATTTTCTTTTTGCATCCTTTTAACATCTTTGGCAGAAAGTTCAATTCTTTAAGCACAGTTGGTGAGCGCCCTCCAGTGGGCAAATAATAATATGACATGGAACTTGGCTGAGGAGGAAGCAGGAGTACCCAGAGAAAACCCAGGCATGCACCTGGAGAACATGCAAACTTAAAAAAATACTTCATTCTTTTACTTTCACACCCAATAGAAACAAAAAGTAGACACTAAATAGAAAGAAAGGTGATTTAAATCAGCCACTTTCACTCACAGGTGCATGAAATCATTCACTAAAAAAGGTCAAAGGTTGAAAAAAACAAAACTTATAATGACTTGATTTTTTCCAGCAACATTTTCTCCCACAAACCCCAAATCAGTTCAGCTTCTTTATAGTTTATTATTTTTGCATTTTTATTTAGATACATCTTGAGGTTGTGCAGCGGTGAAGAGAGAAGATGTTTAGAAACAGTGACTGTGACACCTAGTGGCCACCGGTTGGCCTTCTGCAGCTCCAATGTGCATCAGCAGACAATGAATGAGTGAACAGAGGCATAAATGATGTCAGATTTATAAAGTTCCTGAAGTATTAAATAAAACTCCAACATATTTTCACCATTTATTCTCAAGTATTTAACTAAAAATCAATGTGGCACCTAAAAGAAAATTGTAAACTCAATTTTAAAGTTATATTTAAACCAAGATTATCAAATAAGAATTATTTTCTAATGCAATTACAACAATAAAACTATTTATTTATTTATACTTAAAGCATTTGTGTGTCTTTATTTGGCATTAAAAATACCTTTAATAATTGAGAAAAATAAAATCTTTTTTTTTTCTCAGTTCTCTTTAAGGTTCTATTTAAATGCACTTAATGCAATAACAAAAAAAAACCCTGAATATTGTTAAAATCCAGCAAACACTGGCAGATTGTACTTACAATATCTGCTTTTTGATTTACAAAAGAAAAAGTATTGGTTAGATTTCTTTTTAGAATGTGATTATTAATAAATTGGACTTAGATTTATCTTATTATTCAGGTTTTTTTTTCAGGAAGAAAACATCCTGTTTTATTCAAGGGTTCTTTATTTTACATTAATTTTGAACTTAGACACACATGCAAGAAGATAAATGAAAACTGTCAATGAAAGATTATAAAATAAAATCTGACAGTTTTGAAATAAGAATAGAAGTGTTGTTGGTATTTTATTGTCATTTAGTCATTTAAAGATGAATGGAAAAAGACAAACTGCACTCTTCATTGCAGATTTGAAACATTTGAAACATTTTAATGTGTGCAGGCACTTGGGAAGGAGAGGTGAAGATGATGTGCTGTAGCTCAGTGTGTGTGTGTGTGTGTGCGTGTGTGTGTGTGTGTGTGTGTGTGTGTGTGTGTGTGTGTGTGTGTGTGTGTGTGTGTGTGTGTGTGTTCTGGGTCTGAAGACATTACCACAGTCTGCCTGATAGTCGCTCCTCACGTCCTGATTTAAACCAGTTTACCAATTCCATTATGCTAAGCCTGAACACTGGTTGGGAAATGATGAACGATTATGTGAAACACATAATCTCCCTGCTGCACCATCACTGCAGTATGACAGCCAAATTTCATTCATCCTATCCAATTTCTTCCTTATTTAAGGAAAGAAAATTACTGGTCCCAGTAATCAGATATGTAGCGCAGCTGTGTGCAGGAGTTAAGCCCACTCCCATTAGGCTTTCTGCTTTGCTCCGGCTCCACTCACATTCACGCACACAGACATAAAAACGACAGATACACATGTTCCCCATGTCTGACCCTCCTCACTCCTCACATCGCCTTTCAGCCATTTCAAGGACTATTATTTGGCCCTGATATATTCTCTACAACATCATCTGTTAGCGATGCCAGTTTGAAACACAGTGTGGCTTAAGTGGTTTACAGAGCTGCAGGCGGACGCTTCCTCTCCAATATTCCCCACAAAATACCGTAAAATCAGGAGAAAATGCTTT